CATATATAATATTTATCTTCCTTTGGCTAACATCTTCAAAAGAGAAATTCTTACTAGGACATGAGACCTACACCCACCCTTACTATAGAAGGGTTAACCTAGGCCATTCTGTAAGTTATTCTAGAGTGTATACATATACATTTATATGTGCATACACACACACATATACACAGTAATGGGATTTCTGGACCATTTGGTAATTTTCTGTTGAGAGGAGCATTCTTGTACTTTGAAATAATGATTTCCTTAATTTTATAATGCCCAAATTTGAAAATGAGGCTGTCCTATTGTAAAGGAGATGTGTTTGAACAGTGAAACCTGCTGTGACTTTCCTGGTTTCCAGATAATACAGATGGAGAACAGTCTTAGGTAAATAGCTCTCAAAACAAGATCTTTTCTGAGGAGGTGATTTAACCACTGATCCTCATGGGAAAGGGTCATTGTGGCAACATTATTTACATTTTTAGACTGATTTCAAGAACATGGTTAATAACCTCTTCAGATATGATTAATCAAACTATAAATATGGAATTTGTTTCCAATTGAACTTGTTACGGAAGGACTGCCTTACACTTGTTTTTACTACAGACTAGAGAAAAGCACACATGCTTTTCTGGGATTAGGAGTAACCGCAGTTACACCTTTCCGCAGTCCTTGCCCAATCATAAAACCCTTCAGGGCAGAGCAGTTGGAAGAATTCAGCCGTACCCTCCTGATGTTTGCCAAATACAAGTTAGCTAGCTCTCCAACCATAAAGATTCAGGACAAAAGTCAACATCAAACAAAATCAGAGATGAACTTAGGGTATTTTCATAGGCGCTCTAGAGTTTGTAGACATGAAAGCACTTCTGGAATTTGTATGAACTTGAAATCAAATACATGCCTTTCCCCCTGCATAATGCTAATGTAGTTGATTTCTGGCAATGATACAGAGTCGTTCTGTGTTACGCCGAGTCAGTGGGAGGCCATATGTTACAAATAAGCATTTGGCTCTACCACGCATAGATTTATCAAGAGTTGTGCAGAGGCAAATGAGGCCAGCGAGTTGGGATCCCCTGCAGGCACAGGCCCACATTGTGGCTCCTGCAGGCACCATCCCACGTGCTACCAATTACCTTACAGTTCTGCACACTACATAACAGCAACCAGATTTGAGGAGGAGAAATTTTTAGAAAGTTTTATGATTAAATTCCCCTAAATTGAGCCTATTGGCATCCTCCTCCCCCCAAAAAACAAACAAACAAACAAACAAACAAACAAAAAAATAGGACAGGACAGGTGTACGACAGTTTGGTATGACGCATTTGCCTCCTCCATCTCCAGCTGGATGTTCTGAATTAAGACCTCGTGCCCCGGCTTCTGCCCAGTGGTGACTTAAGGGACTGACAATGTTAGTAAGTCTGTGGCATCTCCACAAAGTGCATGCCGAACTCCGAAGCTCTTGTTAGAGCTTGCCTTTCAGTTCCAATGAGCACGGCTTTCCTAAGACATTCGCCCCTTCTGTGTCGACTGAATAATTATGTGGCTGTCGTGAGAAAGTGAGGAGGCATCTTGTTCAAGTCAATGCTGCTAACTAAGGTTCACTGAATAGAAAGCATCTAACCCTGTGCAGCCAGTTCTGGAGCATATATATGTATGCATAATATATATACGTGTGTGTGTGTGTATGTGTGTGTGAAGTGTATGGATATAAAAATGAACAGCGTGAGGTTTAGCATTCAATAAAGAGTCCTGGGCTCACTGACAGCAGATGAGTTATCCTTGACTGAAGCTGAGGGTCCTATAGGAGACACATCTTGGACAGTGACTTTGGGGCAGGGATTACGGAAGGCAGAGGAGTTAGAACTGAGGGCTCTAGACGAGCAACAGCCTGGTCACAGGCATAGGGGCAGGGACTGATAACACATACCTGAGAAAAAGCATGGGAACAGGAGGCAGGGGTATAGCTAAGAGTCAGGATCGAGTTGTAACTGTGCTAGCTACTGGCTACATGAGCTTGGGGTTGGTGGATTGACTTTCTGAGTCTATTTTGTCACTCATAAAACTGGGCCAGCAACAGCTGCACTAAAAACTTGTCATCAGGGCTAAATAAAAAGTTATTTTGTTTATTATTTTATTCAGTAACTATTCACCATTACCATAAAGTGAAGTTAAGTGGTTTTGCTACTGATAAGCATACTCATTTGGAAACAGCAAAAGGCTGTGAGGACAATGACTGGAGCCAGAAACTAGAGGAATCACCTGTATGTAGACACAGAATGGTCAGTGTGAACTCATGGAAACTCAGGGGTGGCCTTGAGAATATAACTAAATGATGGGAAAAGTCTATGTGTCTGTATTTACAATGTATATATTTTTTATTTAATAGTTTATACATAGTTGCTTCTTTTTTTTTATTTTGAAAGAGAAGCTAGTCAAGAAGAAAGTGGCTAAAACCAAAGCTGTCATAGTAAAACCCAGATGCCCAGGCTCGGGGAACATAAAGATTTAATTTTTCTAAACAGCCTTTAGATACAAATTAGATGGATACAGATATGGATTTCACTCTCTCACTAACTTGTTTAAACTAGTAAAGATTGCTATGAGGATTTTCCAAAGCACGTTATCTCACTATGTATTCACTGACTTCCTGTAGTATGAGCATCAGATGTGCAGTGTATATAAAACATGACTGTGCCTAGCGGAAGTGATAAGTATAAAAGCTAATAACCAGAGTACAAGTGTGACACAAACCGTGAACAATATGGAACCAGCTAATTTAGACTGAGGTGTGGGCGGGCGCTGCTGAGACCATGGTGGAAACTCAGTGACAAGCAGGAGTGAATCAACTAGAATGGGAGCGATGAGATCTGGATCTGGGCCTCAGACAGAACCTGAAAAATGGCATCTAATGAAGCAGGTGAGCAGCGACGAGTTCTGGGTCCCAGTCATGCAGCCCTTAATGACTACTTCAGACCTACCAGCCTCCATTGCTCTCTCTCATTCTCTCTCCTCTTCCTTCACTCCCTCCTCTCTCTTTCTTCTAAAGTTCATATAGCCCATGTGTATACTGGCTGACTTCCAAGTGATGAAGGGCCAGGCAACTGCTGAGGTCTTTTGGCATCTTGTGGAACAGATCCCTGAGAACTAACTCTGGTCGCAGAGTAGGCTTGTTCCAGCCTCCATGCAAAGGACTCCCCAGGCCAGGTGGCGGTGGCACACACCTTCAGTCCCAGCACTCGGGAGGCAGAGGCAGGTGAAGCTCTGAGTTCAAGGCCGGCCTCGTCTACAGGGCAGAAGCACATCAAAGGCAGCTGAAACTAGACAGATCCGAGTAACCCAGGGTCTATAATGTGTCTATAATGTGTGCTAAGGGCAGAATGGCAGTAAAGAGGGCAGCAGAAGCTGATGCAATTAATTTTCTTTTGATGCAATTAATTTTGTCTTTAAAATTTTTAGTTAGCATACACAGTATTAGTTTTCATTATAGAATTTTCAAATAAAATTTGATTTTGTTGATTTTCTTTCCTTTTATTTCCTTCTAGCTCCCCGAGTCTCCTGTACCTTCTCACACCCATAACTTCCTTTTCCTCACTATTGTGTCTCCCCAGCCCCATCGCCCTCATGGTGATCTTCTTTCTGGTGTCATAGTCCAGGCTGCACTGACCTTTACTTATACCCGTACATAGAAACATAATTTAGGATCCATATGTAAGACAGGATGTGTGATTTTGGACTTTCTAAGCCTGAGTTACCTCACAATATAATTCTTTCTGGTTCTACCCATTTTCCTGCGTATTTCGTGATTCCATTTCTTTCTTTATAACTAAATAAAATTCAACGGTATGCAGAAATGTGCACATTCATTATCCATTCATATCCAAACATATTCATTATCCATTCATCTGTTGATGGACATCTGGGCTGGTTCCACTACCTCACCTCTGTGAATAGAGCAGCGATGAATATGGATGAGAGGTATCTCTGTGCTTTGATATAAAGTCCTTTGAGTAGAAACCCAGGAGTGACATAATGGGGTCACATGGTAGTTCTATTTTTACGTTTTTTGAGAAGCCAGCAATGTAAACCAATTTTACTTCTGTTTAACATTTTATTTGTCTGCTTGGACCACGGGGCCCTTATTCTGAGTGAGGTGGTCAGAGCTCTTCCTGAAGCTCTCACATGGCAAATGCCCACGATTTCATTTCTCTCTGACTTGATGAGTTGATATTCCCCCAATTTAAACGTCAGGTGACATAAATCCAAAGATTAACAGCCGAGGCCGGCTGTGGATGTCCTTAAAGAGGGCAAGCTGATATTTTCGTGATCTGCACTAAAATCCCACTGGCTGGATCCTAAGGTGCTATCGGGAACAGTAACATCTGTGGATGAGTAATGGCACAAGCATTCAATTCAGGAGCTGCAGTTTCTTTTATTTCCTGCCTCCCCTAATCTATTTGGAGAACAAAGAATGCTGAGTTTGATTTCATTTGATCTCCATCAAGACTGACAGCAGAGAAAGAGCTTAATAGTTGTGAAGGCCTGTGCTGCTCTTCTAGCGGACCCACCTTTGGTCCTCAGCACCAACTGTCTAACTCCTGCTCCAGAGCGATGTGATGCCTCTGGCTTCTATGGATACATACACGCACTTATGTATGTATACACACACATACACACACACACACAGAGCCTGACGATTCAGTGAGCAGCTTCCTCACCCAATCACCTTCATTAACGTTATTATAATAGGCACTTATAAACTGCTTTGCTAAATGGTAGTGACTCACTAGAGCCCACAAAGTAACTAAAAGCAGTTTTAAAGGCTGACATCTCTGCCTTCATTTTGCACCTATAACCTTCAGTATCTCAATGCCACCTTTTACAGTGGTTTTTTTTTTTTTAAGGACCCTCCCCCTCCTGCCTCAGCAGAATCCGAACCTGCAGCTTCCTTGGATGCCATAGACGCCTTTACTACAGAGACTGTAATTGCCCTCCATACCCCAAACATGCACGCTGAGTACCCAAACCACGGTGAGCAATAAGGTTGGTCACCTTCCAAATGAGGGCAATTATGACATCAAGGCTGCATCCTGGAGTGGCAGCGTCGTCTGATGGCAACCAGATTGCTTCCTTTAAGCCGTGAGGACCTCTTGCAACCACGCTGGGAACCAGACAATGAGACAATGCCAAAGGCTGCTTATTTATGCACAGTCCTTGTCCCCTGCCTCTCTCTTTAAAGCTTACGTCAGTGTCCTGAGTATGGACTGAGCCACTAAGCCCCTTTATCTATATTTCCCAATGTGACTCCCAATGGAGTCACATTGCTCCAGTCTCTCTTAAGCGCTTTTCACCATTACACTTCTCTTTAGTTGGCACATTGGGACAGTGGCTGTGTATAGCCTGTTGGGAGCCTGGACATTTGCTCTAAACTTCCAGTAATACTGTCAGGTGAGCTGATCTATAAAACCTGACTGTGGAAGAGTCAGTGTCTGTGGGCAGAACGGGACATATTTTCTCACTGACATTCCCAAAGGAGTGCCACCGTGTGAAGAGTGACAAGAATGTGCATATGATAATGACACCCAAATTCAGTGAACTGACCCAGGAGAATATCAAAGAGAGGGAGAATACTGAAGATTTGTTGTGAGGAAAGAAGTCAAATCAACAGGCAGACAAGCATGCCCTGGTGCTAGTAAGAACCCGGAAGCTGGAATGTTTTCCCTTTGAATAGTGCACGCTGCGGCTGACTCTAACCAGGCTCTGCTTTGAGATAAAAGAGAAAAACGGTACAAAAAAAATATAGTCCCTACAGAATCAACTTTGCTTACTCCCTTTGCTCTCATCAATTTGGTAAATTTGCTGCTGGGAAAAGGAGACAGGAGTCCCAGGCTCAGTTACTGAAGCGTGTTAGTGAAGTTCAGTTAGTTAAGACCCCAGTGACCCTTGAAGTTTTCACCTGTCGCTACCAAGCGCATCATCACCCTCTAACACAATGCTTTGTCTGCGCCACAGCCCACTAGGCACCACAGGTCCTAGTCTTCCTCCATCTGCTCATTCCCACTGTGGATGGAGAGCCAGGCATGCAAATCAGCACCCTAGCAACCTCCTCTCGGTTGCTTCTCTCATCTTCTGCTCTTCCTCACTTGAAAGACTCTCATCAGTGATACCGAGTCAATGCAAATCTTAACAAATATTTCCTGGGGCATTAGGGGGAAAAGAAAGGAGATATGTTTGGGACAGCTTAAAGGCAGCACAAACATTGCAAATTAAACTGCTAGATTGTTGACATTCCTTCTACATATGTCGTGAATATCAAAATATTTAGTTAGTGTCAGGCCGTACCCCCCGCCCCCATTCAATTACAGACCCCATTCAATTTGTGGATGAGCTGAATGTGGCATCCCAGACTGCCTGCATGAGGTCAGGACCCAGCTTTTCTGAGGAGCAGCATTCCCTCCAGTGTTCACCAGAAAGCTTCAGCAAAACTCTTTGAAACTGTCCTCATGAGCCACCGTTGGAATCAAAGATCAAGAAGCACGTACAAAGTCAGTGAACACTGTTTCACTCTAGCACACTTAAATATATATATACATATATATATATATATATATATATATATATATATATATATATATATATCCCTTGCTTGAATGAATGGGAGAGGATGAGGAAGGGGAAGGTGGTCTTGAAGAAGTTGAAGAGGGGAGGGGGGATGTAGATAATCTAAACGAATTATATCTGTGTATGAAACTACCAGAGGATAACTGAAACTTAAAGAAATGAAAAACTCCTCGGAAGAAATAAGCAAAATTTCTAACATCGGTTAACTGGTAAGATTAAAATGATTTAAAGCCTTTTCTATGATTTCCAAAATTTTACAGTGAGCATTGTATTTTCATAGTAATAAAAAGATATTCAGTAGAATCTTTTTCCAGCAGGAAAGAGATGAGAATTGGGCTAGCCTACATTGTCTTAGTTTGGGTTTTATTGCTGTGAAGGGACACCATGACCAAGGCAACTCTTAGAAAGGAAAACACTTCACTGGGGCTGGCTTACAGTTTTAGAGGTTTAGTCCACTATCAGCATGGTGGAAGGCATGGCGGCATGCAGGCAGACATGGGCTGGAGGAGCTAAGAGTTCTTGACCTGGCAGGAAACTGGAATTATTTCACACTGGGCAGAGCCTAAGTATATATACATGACCTCAAAGCCCTGCCTCCACAGTGAAACACTTCCTCTAACAATGCCACACACCCTCTGATAAAGCCACACCTCACAATAGTGCCATTCCCCACGGCCACACACTCAAACACATGTATCTATGGGAGTCAAACCTATCCAAACCACCACATTCGGCTCCCTGGTCCCCATGGGCTTGTAGCCGTGACATAATGCAAAATGCATTTAGTACAATTTCAAAAGTCCCCATAGTCTATCACAGTCTCAACAACATTTAAAAGTCCCAAGCCCAAAGTCTCTTCTGATAGTCACATAGTTTCTTAGCTGTAATCCCCTATAAAGTCAAAATCAAAAAGCAGACTGCATGTTTTCAACATATGGCACAGGATATACATTACCATTGCAAAACATAGGGATGGGAACAAACTTAGGAAATACTGGACCAAAGCAAGACGGAAAACCAGCTGGGCAGACTCCAAACTCTGCATCTCCACGTCTGATGTCAAAAATGCTCTTCAGATCTCCAACTCCTTTCGGCTTTGTTGACTGTAACACACTTCTTTTCCCTTGGGCTGGTTCCACTCCCTGTTAGCAGCTTTCCTTTGCAGCTAGTCACTGCTCTGGCATCCCCAAACTTGTGGCCACCAAAGCAATCCAGGCTTCACCTTGACAATTTCAAGCAATAGCTTTTCTGGACCTCCATGCCACGACACCTGTGACATATTCCCAGCCTATGTGGCTTTCCTTAGTATAGAGGGAAATTTCATCCTTGATTCTAAAGCCAGACCCACGTGGACAAAGCTGCCAAGTTCTGCTGCTTGCTGGGACTGGAACACGACCCCTTGTTCACTTACATCTTCACCAGCTTTCTGTTTTCCAGGGTTCTCTTCACTGTCTAAGCTTGGCTGTCCTGGAACTTGCTCTGTAGACCAGGCTGGCCTTGAACTCGGAGATCCCCTGAGTGCTGGGATTAAAGGCTCCTGCTGTTGAGATTAATGGCATGTGTCATCTGGATCAAAAGCATGTGTCATCCCATGATCTGAATCAGAAGCCTGTGTCTTGCAGCCTTAAGATGCAGCGCTCCCTGCCTCAAGCTCTGGGTCGCAGGTGCGCCCTCCATTTCTGGACTGTAGTTCATTCCACATACAGTCAAGCTGGCAACCAAGAGTAGCCACCTGCGTCATTTTCCCCGTGGACTTGATATCACAGAGTTCAGTGATCACCTAAGTTTATTTTGTGCATAAAATGATTTCAAGTAATACTAGCAATCAGAAATGCAAAATACTCAGACTAGTTGTGTGGAGCTACAGAGATTTCTCAGCAGATAAGAGCACTTTTTTTTTTTTTTTTTTGTTGCTTTGTTTTTTCTTTCCTTAAGGGCTCAGGCTTGCTTTCCAGTACCGACGTGGTGGCTTACAACTCTATTCTAACATCATCTCCTGGTCTCCAGGAACACCATGCACATATGTGGTATATAGATATAAATGCAAGAAAAACACAATGCACAAAGATAAATAATGACAAAATTTGTATATATAAAGTGTGCATGAAAGTCATCAGTTGCATGTAAATTAGTAGCTATTCCTTTCAAGAATTAGCTGATAAAGTATGTATGAATGTCCTGGGGAGATGACTCTCTGAGTTTGCACCTCAATTTTTCTCTTTCTTATTGTAGAAGAGGGTGCTGGAGTTCTGGGGTGCTGGGGTGCAGGGACTCAGGGGCTCAGGGGTAAAGCCTGAGTAGAGGCCTCTGGATCTAGCGTGATTACAAAGTCTGTGCTCCCACCCACTCAACTACCTCGTCCTGTGCTTCTCCCCTCCGCTCTTATGAATAACTGATGGAGTTCATTTATTCAACAGGAGCTTTAGGATCACCATCACCTGTCTGGAAAAGCTCAGCTTCTCTGTCTTCAGGTGACAGCGGTGACATTGTTAACAGAAGCGACTTGGGCGTCCGCAGAAGTAGAAGTAATGGGGTGGATTGAAAATGGGTAGTGAAGCTTTCTATGATGCTCAAACTTGTTTATTTTGCGTAACGCCCTTCATATGTTTTCCCAGGTATTCCAAGGCAGCCTCCCCTATAATGAATGAGTAATCACATCTCCCTTGCAAACTGTGCTCATGACCAGCTGGCTCCATGTCAAGTCCTTATTATTTCACTGTATCTTGAATGGAAGAAAAGGACTGTGATCAAAACTAAAAAATTCTTTTTGCTTCAGAAGTCAGTACGGTTAACATTCTGATATGTGTCAGGCTACTTCTTAACACTGGCAAAGCTCATTTCTTGGTAAGATTTCTGCTCTGGGGGACACCCCATGGAGATCAGAGGAGCTTCCCAAGCCATGTCTTGATGGATAAAGTGAAAATGAATTTTAAACACATGGGCTGCATGCTTTAAAATACGCTTGAGTTCAAAAGTTAACAAAAGTAATACTTGGTTTAAAACGTTTGGGAATTTCTTCAGCCTCAAGTGTTTGAAAACTCAGTTTCTGACCTGAAATTAGATGCTTCCTTTTCCATTAGACCATCCTCATTTACATTAAATGTATTTATAGATAATAATTTAACCAACATGGGTACAAATGTTCTATTCTAGTTCTTTTTCCTTTTGTAAATTTTCTTATATTTTAGAATTTAAAAATTCAAACACTTTTATTCATATAATTACTGAATTACTTTTAGGAAATGGATTTTTTTCCTGTTGTCCGTTAGTTCAAAATACAACATGACACAGTTTCTAAAAATAATAACATACATCTTAAGTAGTCAATACATATTTGATACTTGAATTATTGAGGTCGGGCAATATCAATACTGCATGGGTGTGGAGAATGTTGGTCCTGAGTCTTTTACGGTAGACTCATTTATGCAACTTTGAAGACCGCTAAAAAAA